TTTCATAATTTGGACTTAGTTTTCAAAGTAGAATATATTTGCATCCTGAACAATTTGGCTCCTTTGTGATTTTGAAAAGTTGATATATGGTCTGATGTAATTTGGGCCTGTACATATGATAGTTTCAGGAAATGGTCTTATGCCAAATGTACTGTTTACAATACTGATGATTTTGAGAACATTTCTGAATGTAAATTTCTGAAAATGTGCAAGGAATGACAGAACTACCATTTTTAAGGTACTGATGAATCTTCGAAACCCAAATTATGAAAATGGAGAACAACCTAGTTTCAGAAATCATCTGGGGCTAATTCAGGTTCCTCTAAAAGTTAAAGATATTCCAGAATTGGTAAGTATATTCTTTCTTACAAGAGGTTTCTATAAAATTAGTTTGCCTTGCTAATGAACAAGATTCTAAACAATAATAACATTAAAATTGAGTAAGTTTCTCCTTTTGAAACTGAAAATCAGTATGAACATGTAGTGGGTCAACGGTTAAAACAGAGCATAGAAAAGTCTTTTTAAAAGTAGTTTTTAATGAAAAATAAAATATAAAAAATAAATTGTCACTTGGGAAATTTCCATTTTGTGCCACATCACTGTTGATTTGTGCCAAAAATATACATATGTATATTTTCTTCATTTTTTTTTTGTGAAAGTAAACTCTAAAGACGCATTTTATTGTAATGAATTCTATAGTTTTATTTGAGCTTGCACATGATCAAGTAAGCTGACAATCAGTGTCTGATATTCTCTTAAAGTAATTTTAAATCTTGTTATACTGTCAGACTGTAAATGGAAGGAAGCGCTTGAATACAACTGTTATCATTGGAGGATAAGAGAGCTGTTCTTAAGGCTCCACTGAGAAGGTTGCTGAGGAGTTTATGCTATCCTTAACCTGATCTCTCATTTCCCACTTTATTACATACAGGCGTATTTCATAGTCAACATGAAAAATGACACTAGACTAAGTATTGATGTGAGATTTTTCTCTTTAAAAAACCTGGGATCGTGTTTCATATATATGCATTTAAAAGAACTGTGTTTGGTTTAGAAAATATTTGCATTAAACCTTTCAGAAGAAATCTCATGACTTAGAGAATTAAACACTACTAATTACTTTGTTACGGTTTTGTTTTGTTTGTTTGTTTGTTTGTTTTCAGAAAGAAGATTTCAGTGAACTAGGCTTAAATACGGGACAGCTGGGTATTGATGATTCAGCACAAGTGCCTCCTGGTTAGTAAATGCTGTGGTTTAGTCATTTACTTAGAGAACTAATGCATAGAATACAGTGCAAATATCAAGTAGCTTGTGTATTTTTTCCATAATGAACCATAAATATTTATTCTGCACCTATGAATTTAATGATTTTCTTGGTAAAATACAGCTAATAATAAGCAACATTGAAAATACAAAGGGTCAGATTTGAAGATTTAAAATTAGCATATTTACAGCTTGAAAATATGTTAATTTCAGGTGGTTGAACACTTCAGGATCAAGCCTGGAGAACAAACTTTTCTGTCTCCAAAACTACAGAAAATACTGATAAATCTTAAGTCAACCCTGCAGTGTGACACCACTAACAGATTCATATATATACAAATATCTTCTGTTGTTTTTCCTGGTATACAATTATTCCTATATAAACGGGTCTTAAAATGGCCTCTTCATGTGAAAATGGAAAACACTGAAGTTATTTTTCTTTTTAAATGGAAATTTACCTATTCAAAGTCTTGGCTTTTGCAGTGTAGTGCTACTTTTGTATTTGTGTCCTTCAGATGAGAAGAAATTCTTTGGTATTATCTCTTCGTATTTCTTGGAAAAAAACATTGATGCTGATGCAGGTTAATATTTAGTGACTTTGCATTCAGCTGATTTTTACTGCTAGTGATGTGTAGTAAAAATACAGAATACTTTACTGGGTTGAGTGTCATTTTTTTCTAATTTATTTTTTGTAGTTCATTTCTATTTCTTTATTTCCTAGAGTTCTTTGAAAATGAACATGTACGTGTTGGACAAAAAGGTACGGATATGTTTTCATTTGTTTAAAAAAAACACCAACAACAGAAACCTATGAGTAGTACGAATACAGTTTGTACTTTCATACCTCCTATGCCTTTAGAATTTTAACAAGGTAGGCAGACAAACAAAACATAGACAGTCATAACATTGTAATTTAGACAAGGGCAGAAAAGCAAGCATTGCAGTCTACCAGTAGCTATCAGATAAATAACTCCACAAATATTTCATTAAAATGAAATAGGAAGCATAGGCACATAACTTTTTGGTGATGACTTAACTTATGCTGCTACTGAATTTCATTTTAAAATCACAAGACTCTGGACTCCCTTCCCTGCACACACAGTTCTCATTAATGAAATGGGTTTTACGCCAGTGCGTCAGAACAACGTCTTTTTAATTTGCAGTTGCAGAACTTGCTAAATATTGCAATACTTAGTTACCATGTATACAGCTTTTTCTGAAAAAGGTTAGGAGTTTCTGTGATGGCTGAGACTTGATCCAGAAAGGAAAAAAAAAACATTTATTAGTTCCAGTTTGCTTATAGGAGTGTACGTGCAGGGAATGTTTGAAATATATGCAACTTACAGTTTCTTGTGATTTGTGCAAAACATTATCAAAGGAAAAAAGTGGGGTGGATACCATCTCAAAAGTCCTCCATCCCTTTTTTGTTGTTGTAGTAACAAAACAATGACCTTTCTTTGTCTTCTCCTTTTGTGGTCCTTCTGTTCATTGTCTGTTCTCCGATCCAAATGCAACTCATTAGGGTGCTGTCCATCTCCCTGTTCTTTTCTTTTTTCTCCAAATCAATTCTCCAGCCAAACTTACTGAGCCATTCATTTAAATCCACAATGTAACTCTTAGTCCTCATCTTGTCTCTTTAGAGCAGCCTCTATTACACAGTTGGTCTTAACTTTTTGTACGTGCAAAGACATGGAAACTTGTAAAAGTGTAAGCTAGAGTGTTGACCATGAATATTTAAGTTCATTCAGTGGGATTTCTTTTGCATGCTCTATTGGATTTTAGAACATAAAGTGTTCTTTATGTCCTTGGTTGCCATGGGTGCATTGATTTTCTTTTATGCAATACATACGACCTAGTCTGAGGAGCTACATTTTATTATAATCTAATTCGTAATTCCTTTATTGTGTTGTAAAACTTAATCTTGTATGTAGCAAAACTACTTTTTCATACTTTGTGTCTCAGTAAGAAACAGAAAGGTAAACAGTTTTTTTTTTCTTTTTGCCCCATTCTTTAGGGGGGAAAAAAAGATGACACGCCATCTGTGTTAAGAGCTCTGCTCATTAAACAGAAAATTTGTAGACCAGTTATTCAGTACTTCAGAAGAGAGAGAAAAAGATAATTCAGTAGGTTTATAATTCCAAACCTCATCCTTCCAAACCTTTTAGATATTTTCCCTTTAGCTAATGCTTGCTGGAAAAGCAGATTGTAAGCCCTGTTCCTGAATCTTCATATTACGTGCATGTAAAGCTAAGCTACACTCCAGCTATCAGTCAAATAGGTAACGGACTAACCTCATTCTCTTGATTTCTTTGTTGCCTTCATGTGTGTTTAATTTGCCAAAATAAATGCTTGAATTCTCTCTGTATAACAAACAGCACCAAAAATAAATCTTTCAGAACCATTGCTTGCACACAAAACTGTAATAAGCTAAATAGAAGAGTAAAGTGCATCGAATTCCAGTGTAATGCAAAGTTTCTTGGTAATACAGTCTTTTATTACTTTTTTTTATTGGTCTAACAGACTAATATCCACTTCAAATATATGCAAATATTGCAGAACTCTTTTACTGTCATAGGCTGTGTAGTGTGTCTCAATTTTCAGTACTCCAAAAAAAAATAAATTGAAGTACTCGAAGTTTGGTGAACTTTGGACATCTTAAACTACATCAGTTTATTACTTGCTTTTTTTCTTGCAGTTTTAGCAGAGCAAGATAGTGCTGCAGCTCAACAATATGTCCGTCAGGGATGCCCAACGGCACTCCGAGCTGATCTGTGGGCCCTCATTCTGAATATTTCTAATCAGCCAGAGGTAAGGAGCAAAGTGAGAGTAAAATCGGCACAAGTAGGATGTTACTATGTTAGAACAGGTCCGGAGCAAGTTGATCAGAGGGCTGGAGCACCTCTACTATTAAGAAAGGCTGAGATAGCTGGGGCCGTTCAGCCTTTAGGCATTAGAAGAGAAGGCTCCAGGGTGTCCTTATTGCAGCTTTTCAGTACTTAAAGGGGGCTTATAAAAAAGATGGAGAGCGACTTTTTGCTGAGTCAGATAATGACAGGATAAGGGGGAATGATTTTAAACTTAAAAAGGGGAGATTTAGGTTAGAGATTAGGAGGAAACTCTTCACTCAGAGGGTGGCGAGGTGCTGGATCGGGCTGCCCAGAGAGGTTGTGGATGCCCCATGCCTGGAGGTGTTCAAGACCAGGTTGGATGAGGCCCTGAGCAACCTGATCTAGTGGGTAGTGTCCCTACCTATGGCCAGGGGGTTGGAACTAGAGGATCTTTGAGGTCCCTTCAAACCTGAGCTGTTCTATGAAAATACAAAGGCAAGTGTACAAACACTTTTACTATTTTACTCAAGTCCTGAACAATGAACTCTTCTGCAGTATCAGAAGATATATAACTGTCAATATATACGTAATATATTCATACCATAGCAATTAAAATCCATAGGTAAGTCTTTGGAGAATTAATTGTCAGTACTTTGTTACATTTATGACCGAATTTACATGTATGAAGGCTATTTTTATTTCAATAAAAGCCTTGTATAGATTTTACTGTATTTCATGTCCTTTGAGGATGTAGTCATTTTCTCATAACACTGCAGCATTTATTGGTGACTATATAGTAAGATGATAAGATCTTATCCATAAAAATAAGTGTGAATCTTGTTCATTGGCAGCTTACCTAAGGAGTACTCATGCTAAAACAAATTTTTAATAAAGTTACATGGTCTGGAATTAGAATTACTTAGTTTATTCTTTTTATTTTTTTGAGAAATAGAGCAGGCTTTTGTTTCTCATAAGTAAAAGATGAAACTCTCTGTAGAAGAAAGAGCTGTTGAAATAATAATGAAATATTGTAAATCTTAATCAAGATGCTCAACACAAGATTTAAGTTCTTTTAAATTACTAGGCCAGCTTGACCTTTAGAAGTCTTGCTCTTTATGAGACTGGGAGTTTAACAGATATGAAATTAATGTTGTTGGTTACACTGCATCTGCTTATGTTCTGTTAAATGCTACATCTCTTAACAGCATTTTTATCTTAATGTAGAAAATGAAAACATTGAATAAAAAAGCCAAGGATTTTGTTTTGATGATAGAAAGTCAAGAAAATGAGAAAAATAAAAAAATACTTCATTTTACTTTTTTGTGAAGCATGAGCTATTATGGAAATAGATTTCCTAAAATTCAGTTTCTGAAATTGTCATGGACATCTTTTCTACTTCTTTTTTAAAGAGGAACAAGCTGTGTCTGTCTATTAATATATTTGTTGGCCATACTGTTACATCCTCTAAAAGTTAACTCTAGTTTTTAGTAGTTTTTAATGTGTGTTTCTATTATGCATGAAGTATTAATATTTTAGACTTTGTCCAAAGGTTAGCTTCTGCTGTGAGTGTATTAACTCAATCTACCATTAGGTAAGCTAGAGAGCAGTGCATTTGATTACATCTACTCATGGATGTGTTTTCACTTTGTAGTAATTAGTAAGGCATCTCCAACTTATGCACATGGACATTTCTGTTAGCACTGCTAATGTGCCCTCCCTGACATCATATTTACCTTGTGTTAACTTTCCACACACTTAGCAAATGATGCTCATGAACTATAGAGGAGGTAAAAAAAAACAACTTCATACACACAAAGTATTCTTTGATTCAGTGCAGTAGACATTCTGCTTTAGGAGATGTTGCACGGGGTTCAGAACCTTGAGATGGAGACTATTTGCCTGTATGCAGTATTCTGTGGTGAAGATGAAAAAACTCTAGAAAGGTAAGTAGCTAGAGAATGGTAACAACAACCTGAAAGAAAAGTAAGGATGGATGAAATAATGTTGAATTGCAAATTTGTCAACAGTTTGAGATTATTGAAATAAGGGACTGGAAAACAGTTAAAAACAAAACAAAACAAACAAACAAACAAAAAGAAAAAAAAACCACGCCAACACGCCAAAGAACAGAAAGAGTGTACTTCATGAAAAAGAGTGTGACTATTCTGAATCTTTTCCATCTAAGTTCAATGGCATCTGACAGCTTCTATGGGTTAGTTACAAACTGCTAACAGTAATGAAGGACAACTCCTACCTTTGTCATCAATTTGGGTTGCATCCCACAGTATGAAGTGCTGAAGGACAGCATGTCTGTTACAGAGCTTGGTTGTGATTGCCTCCATTGAGCAGAATAGCTAGAAAAACACTTTCTAAAGTACACTTGTTCTCAGGCATAGAGTTTTGTGCCCTTCATGCTCCTTGCTTCTTTATGAACCTAGAATACCTAGAAATGGAAGATAAATATTTTCATCAATGAGTGGGGACACTTCTCACTGAAAGTTTAACAAAACACATGCTCCAGTTAAAACCTGTTCACGTGGATATTCACCAGCATCATCTATATTATTAATTTATTTTTTTCTTTAGAAATGTAGCAGATAAATTAGCAGATAAGATGCATTTTGATGCACTTTTCACTGATAACAGCTGTATTTGGGGCAATATGTTATCTCTACATTATTCTGCAGTTCAAATGTTACCATGAAGTAAATTAGCTAGCTATTCAGTCAAATAAATTGTGTCTGTATCATTCTTTTCTTTAGCTTTTGGTTGGATTTTATTTTGCTTAATTTTCTAGACATACTTTATAGAGTAATATATATAGTTTAATATATCTTAATTATAAAATAGAAGGCTGAGAGCATTCTTTAAAATGCTTTAAGCAAAGCCTACAGTGTTTGTATATATAAATATCTTGTGAGATACATAATTTTCAGTTTAGAAATATTTTTAGTTCTTTTCTAAAAGGGTTGAATGATTTGACTCTTCGATTTTGATGCAAAAGTGAATACTTGTAGTCATATTTGAATGCCGATGTGTACATTTATTCTGGTGTTTTCTTGACATCCATGTAAGCTCTGCTTATGAATGAAATTACCTCTAACCTTCACTTGTGCAGAGTCTAGTTCAGGTGGATTTAACATTACATTTGTTTTGATGTCTGTACTTACTGCTGGGTGTTTATTATTTCCTGAGAAACTGACCCATCCATCTGGTATTGCTAAATTAACTCTTTTCAATGCATTCAGTGAAAGGTTTAACATTGTTTTCTTCATTAACAGAACAAAAGCACCGAAGAAAAAAAATGCAGCCTAGTGCTACACAAACACCTTTTAAAATGAGGCCTTAATGTTTTCTGCTGCTTCGGTTTTCTAAACAATTCATTTTTGTTTTGGCATTGGGAGTTGGAGTAGCAGGACTTACTTTGTACATGTAAAATGCAGAGATTTGGTACTGCAGTTGACTTACCTTAAAAAAATAATTCAAGAGCTCAGATTGATGTATGAGCATAAATTCATGAAGCTTCACAGGTCTATGCATAGTAGAAAAACATTATTATTCCTGTTTTACAAATTAGTAGCCTATGTAATGTGACAGAAGACTTTATTCTAATGTGGCAGTGTTGGAACTGATCCTTAGGAGTTCCAGAGCTCACCAGGTTGCTGCCTTGAGGACCTGTATTTTGGAATCTTGCTGAATTTTAAAGGAAAGTTGTTACTCACAAAAAGCCTTGTCATCCTCTTCCCATTCTGTCTTACTGTTTTCTCATAGTTAAAAATGTCTTTCTTATCTTGCTATGCATATGTGAGGAATTAGCTAGTTGTTTGGCAAAGGATTCCCACACTGCCTTGATTGTAGACTCCGTCAAGTAATGTATCAACCATATTAGTACTTGTGAAATTGGCAATACCTTTAAGGCATCTTGCATGCATATACAACAGAAACAGTTAATCATGCAATATGGCTAGCATGAAAAAGATTTTTTTTTTTCTAGTTCCTGTCATAATAGGTACAGTTATTTGAGATAGGAAAAAAAACAACCAAACACCTTTGTAGATTATTCATTTGACAGTGCTGCACAATACTGCAATATTGATACTTCAGAATTCTCACTTGAATATTAAGGTAATTTTCTGTAGCTTTTAAGAACAGTTCTCCATCCAGACTGCTATTAGTTTTTATTTAGTAAATTTTGTCTCAACCTTTGTAAAGTGTTAGTGGATTAGTTATACCTCCTTTTTTTTTTTTTTTCTCAGAAAGAAAAATATTTTCCCTGTGGTACTTAGTGTTACTTAAGGAATTCTGTATTTGTCCTCTTTTCAAATATGTCTAATAATCTGTTAGCTCTAATAGATTTCTAAGTGTATGCTATTCACTTCTTTTCAGTTTTTGATCAATGCAAAGAACAGTTGCAGTGTTCCCTAGTCTTTTTTATTTCTATTCTCTCCCTTTAAAATTCACTTTTGAAATTTCATCTTTTTTTCCCGTTATTTTGTGAAATCCTTACTCCGAGTATACATCTGTTGCAGAGAAATCAGCAGTATATATGTAAAGCTTGCAATATACAAGCATTTGTGTGGTGTCTGGAGAGATGCTGAAATAAAAATAAATAAATAAATAAAGTGAGAGGGAGCCTTGGGACTGACGATTTAGTGTACACATTACAACAATTCAATCTAAAACAGTTGAAACAGTAATATTCAATTGCAGGCATAATGGCAGAGAGGTATTTGGGGATTTAGGAATTACATGATGATAGTGAAACATGTCATTTTTTTTCCTTTGCAAGGTCTTTCTTAGAAGAAAGGCATAAAATAAACAAAGTAAAATAGCGTTTGTTCTGCTACTTTCCAGTTGTTTCCCCTTTGTGTATCTTTTTTAGACACTCAGGAAGTAACTGAAGTTTTTTAAAAAAAAAGTCCAAGTTCTTTGTATTCCCCACAAGATTTTTGATATCTTTTCATCATTTTGATATCATTTCATCTTTTCAACATTTTTTTAGGTTTGTATTGTATTAACATTAAATATTTGCAGCAGCTCACTAATGCTAGAAGTCAGAACTCGTTACTGAAAAGGATCATCGAAGTAGAGGATAACGAAGAAAGTTGTAATGATTTTGAGCATTGAAAAACTTTTGACTGTGTAGATACCCAAAGGTTGGAAGATAAGAATCTTTGGTTTAAATTAGTTCTCACTTGTATTAATTACTTAATATATGAATAAATATAAAGGGGAGGTCTTTTTATAAAGTCTTGAGTATCTACCTAATTTCTGAGAAAGAATAAGCAGTGATAGAATACTTCCTAAATTATGCAGTGGGTATTTGAGTTTAATAAACGCTTTTATTATTATTATTATTATTAAAAATTAGCTTCTGTAATTTCAATATAGATTGAATTTTGTCTCATACTGATGATGATAATATTTTTTAATTTTAGGATATCTTGTATTATGAACAACTCAAATCAAATGTGATTCAGTATGACCTTTTAGTGGACAGCCTGATTTACAAAGTAAGTAATTCATTAACCAGTGATTAAGTGATTTATATACTCATCACACCAAGATCTTTATTTTTTATTTTTTTTTAACAAACAAAATGTTAGATGGTTTGATTTTAAGGAGTGTCAGAATAATTAGGGTCGATTCATTATTGTAAACTGTCTCCTTGTGCCTGTGTTGGCTCTTGCATAAGATATTTGTTTAAGTTGAAGTGTTAAACAGTCATAAAGAAATGGTAACTTCATTTGAAGGAATAACTGGTTTTGGAAGGAAAGGAAGCATTGTCATCCAAGTATTCCAAGTTTCAATTCTAAATGCTTTAATAATCAAGTTAATATTATGGTTTTGCATTTTAAAATATGGAGTATGTGCTTAACTACAACTCCTTCATGATTAAATGGTGAAATGGTGTCTTTTAGTACTCTGTTAAGCTTAGCTTCTGTAGGGAGTCTGAAAATATGTCTTTTGGCTTCAAAGTGCTGTATTTTTTGATTTCAGGATGTAAAGCTAACAGCAAGCAATGATGACTACTATTTTGTATTTGAGGATTATTTATATCAGGTATGTAACTACTTTTTTTCTTGGAAAAGCTAGAAAAGTATATTGCTGAGACAGAATGCAGTGAGACCCTAGCCAGATGCATGTGCTGCACATATATTGTCCATTTGGAATACCAATACTCTTAAGTTAATCTTGGACGTTTAGATAGATGAAGCATGACAGGCTTCTTAAAAACTCCTGAAGGACCCTACAAGTTGTCTCTCCAATACAGAAAATATGAAGTCTGCCATTTTCTTCCTCTTTCTAGCTTTGTAGTATTGAAATGATAAACAGGAGCTATGGAGTGCAGAGAAATTAAGATAGGACCAGTATGTTCGGATTTCCAGTTTAAGAACAAAAATATTGCTTTAGAGCTATTTCAGTGACCTACTAAAATAAGTATCAAGATATTTTATTGATGTGTTTTCAAACTGAAGACATTGATTCTCTATATGTATGGTTACTTTTAAGATTGCTCCCATTCCAAAGCTGCTTCTAGCAATGGAAAACCCATCTAATTTGTAAAGAATTATCTTCATTGCTGCCTGTCAGATGCCCTTAAATAGAAGGAGATTACATTTATGAATTTCCTAATTTGTGATTGACTGCAGTGTCAACATAAATGTCACGCAGCAAACTTACCATTCCCACAGTTCTTTCAATTTCATTAGTCACACCTGTTAGGTTAGACTGGCTTAATTTTTTGTTTTAGAGCTATGTGAAATGAAATAAGTTTTTCCTTGATGATAAAACTGCTAGTAGTCTGGAGAATAAACAAAGGAAGGAGCTGTCCTTAACATTGTTTAGCCCATAGAAGTATAAGAATGTGTTAGTATTTAAACATACTATTTAATTATGTAATTATATTTTTAGCATAGTAAGGATTTCAATATTAACACTTAAAATGATAACTTTAAGGAAATATAGCCTGTTTTTAATTTAAAACACTTACAATATTAAGATCTGTATCAGAATTTGTTTCCAAATTAAAATTTGTAAAGTGGCTACATGATGACAACTCAAGCAACAGTGTGTTTTTTCAGTGCAATGTTTGCATGTAGATTTTTCTTTGACACTTAAATCTAGAAAAGAATCTTCATTGTTGTTATACTGGAAACTTCATGGGATGTAAAAATCTCATTTTTTTCCATTTCATACATTGTATAGGCAACTAAGACACAACAACTAGTCATTAGCTGACAGTTCCAGTGGACACAGAATTCAAATCTGTAAATGAATTTAAGCAAGTATACAGTATAATCTTTTGTTTTAAGACTCTCAGAGATAGTTTTTTTTTTTTTCATTGTTCTCAACATAAAGCACAATTGAAAATTTTATTTTTGTATATAAAAATATAGTTTCTATTGACTAAAGGAATAATTACAGAATGGAAATCATGAAAAAGCCCAACCTAACCTTAGTAATTTGAAGGGAGAGTCAACCAAAAATCTTTGAAAAGTTAAGAGGCTAATTTTACTTCCAGGCTTTTCGGCAAAGAATACCTTAAGCATCTAGTTATTAGTTGTTTGTTTTCTTTGGTATATTGTGCCATTCCTTAAGTGTTTTTTTTCTAGTAGAAGGTTAACCATTCTCCTTGATTATTTTCACTTCTGACCTGCTTTGCAAATGCATCATGAATTTGCAAATGCATCACTGTTAGATGATTTTATTCTGTGGGACCTAAAAACTTTGCAGTATTGGCATCTGTCTGATATGGAATATTATTTACTGATTTCATATGATAACTGGAATTCAATATTGGCTAGGTAAAGGAGATAATGAAAACTTTAGTTTAAACCAGTTAAATTACTTCTATGTTTGCATTGTTGTTTGTTTATTTTTTATTTTTTATTTTTTGTATTGCTCCTTTAGCTTTCTTGTAGCTCATTACCACCTTGAAAATTTTCAAGTCTTTGAGCAGAGTGTGACATTTATCTGTGAATTGCTTAACAGAAAAAGTATCAATCAAAACCAGAACATCTGGGCATAAAATAATAACGAGGATGTTCAGTTGCATTGCTGGTACCTCTTTAATAGCATGCATTCCTTCCTAGAAAGAACATTGTGAAATGATGTAATGTATTTGCTTTACTGTGCTTTCTTTATCCCAAGTTAACATTTGTTTATTAATTCTTTATAACTATTGAAATGGAGTACAGTTACATTCAGTATAGTCTTTTTTTTTTTAATTAAAGCTTTGTTTTTTTGTTGTTGGTGTTTTTTTTTTCTTACTCCTTTGAATTCAATGGTTTTCTGATTGTGATTGTATTGCTGCTAAAAATATCCAGTGGTTTATCAAGCATTTCTGTACTTTAAAAGGGTTTGTATTATTTTCCTTTAGCAGTATCATTTTTGTGAATGAGAAGAATAATATATAAATCAAAATTCAGGATTTAATGTCAGATGTTTAATTTTAATACTGTAGTTTTACATCCTGCATAATAAATACATGCAAAGAACCTCACCCAGCAGCTTTTAGGTGTAGTCAGAACTTGGGTTTGAGAGTCTACCTCATTTGAAGACACACAGTCTTAAAGATTTCCAGATACTGGTACTGGATGCTGTGTTCAAAAAAAAAAAAAAGGAAAGAAAAAAGGTGGTGGGTGTCGGAGGCCTCAAATTAAGGTTACATTCTTTCCCCTATGAGAGAACACAATTTATGTCCTTTTCAGATTAGTTCATCTTCTCTCACCTCAGTTAACATATACACAGAATTACATTTGCCTGTGTATTGTTATTGTCAGTTGTATTTTGGCAGCTATGAAAATGATTGTGTATTGCGCAAAAATAATATTTAGCTTCAACTGTTGAAGATAAAGAAACTATTTATTTTTTAAAAGATGCTTGTTATCTGAGAAGTAATTTCAAGATTCAGAAGAGGGAAATGTCTCAAAATATGACCTACTTTCAAAAAAATTGCAGTGGTGTTCAGGTGTCACAGTTTTGCATGCTTCCTTTCGGTAAATACTGATATCTGGAAAATGTTTGGAATAGTTAGTTGAAGAAAAAATCTACTTATTTTATTTATAATAAATTATGTAGTAAAACACCATATAAAACATCTCCACATTTTAAACCTTGGCTACAATTTGAAGAAAAACTTATAAAACCTGTAAGAGGAGAAGATTTAAGATATGCAAAGATCAGCATCAATTGAAGACTGTATTACTTCTGCCCTCTTGTGTGCATTGTTGATAGTGCAGCCTTTCATTGCACCACAACATGAACATTTTCCAATAATTATTACATTTTTTACAACTGTATGTGGGATGAGTTTCTTCATTATTTTTTCTATGAATGCTCTTAATATTTAATTTTATATTCAATTGTTCTAGATTGTTCCTTTATGTTAGCATGAAAACTACAGATACATTTCACAAAATAAAGTATGTATTTAAGAAAGTATGGATATGAGGTGAATGTTCTCATCTGCTCTTTTGGAAAGCACTGAACATAGTGTAAGCATTCTGCAAAGATTTTAGGAATGAGAGAGAAATATGAGGATCGGTCTTCTGGAAATGCACACGTTAAAATGTAAATGTTTCATTTGCTTATTCACTTAGTAAGACTTCCCCGAGTCATAGTAACTGATTAGGAAAATGAACTGATATGCATCACAGTATTGAGTTGCATGCACACAGCAAGCTGTTAAAGACTTAGTTGTTAAAACTAAGATGTCTAAGCAAAAACTTAGAATACTTACCAAACATTCCAAAATGGTCCAATGTGCTGATTATTCAGGTGTAGGTCAATATGACGTGATAGAAGGATGTAGGTTCATGCTTAGAGGCAAAGAGGAAGATTGGAGAGTGTGGATATTTTATTGACAATAAATGAATGTGAAGATGGTATCCTAACAAGTTAAAGTGAGCCTGGAAATTTTAACAGGAAAGTGAATTAAGTCGGTCAATAGCTTTCAACCATATTAGCTCTCTTTAGGAGAGTCTAATAGGTGCTAATTAGGGCAGGTGCTTAAATCTCTGTTTGACATTACTTTGTTGATTGTCAGCTTATTTTTGTCTTTTGCAGGTATTACTCTGTTTTTCCCGAGATACATCAGTATTGGATCACTTCACTTACAGTAGTGCAACCCCACCAAAATCATACATACGAGGTAAAGGGAGTTGTTTTAATAAAAAATAATGCATGGACTTCTGTTGACTGCTACAGCAATGCAGTATGTGAATTTCCTTTATATTCATTATACCTGATAGACTACATTTAAAAGAACGTTAATAAAAACTTCATGTATCCAGCTGACATATGCACAGATTCTGTTATCACAGTTTAGAAACTGATCACATAAAGACCAGGTTGTAATGATGTTATTTTATGGTAGTTTTCTGTGTATAGTTCTCCTTTTTTTACCAAAATAAATTCAAAACACGACTATGACAATATGGTAGAATCTGGATATCTATCGTCATCAGAGTTAGAAATTTAAATGTGTGACATAGTCCTCTGCAACTTTAACAAATTTACCAACTGGAAGTGGTGGTAGAATGTTACCTTCCAAAGCAGTGGGTTTCACAGATAGACATGAGCAGAACAAGTTCCTGAAGAATCTTAGGCTCTATTCCAAGGTCTGGAAGAGTAGAGCTCTACCAAGCAGGCTTACATTGATTTTTGTTTATTATTATTATCATTTTTTCAAAGCACTGCATTTTCTAGAGTTTTACCTTACCTTTGGCTTTGTTTCTCTCAGCGAGACTTATTTTTTGTAATATAACAGTTTTAAATTTATCACTTCATTCTGCTTGCCTTCTCTGCCAGCTTCTACAGACTGGGCTCTTCCTTGCTTCCTCACCTGCTTTGGCTTTACCCAGATGTTCCTAATTTTGTCTTCCACCTCGAACCCTTCAATCATCCAATCCCTTTGATTTTTTTCATTCTAGCTTTACCTTCTGCATTCCTGTTTTCTTCCTTGGTCCCACATTCCAATGTATTTAGCTTAATGTGATCCCTGTACCAGGATCTCTGCTGACTTGGGCTTCTGCTGCTACTTTTCTCACTAGAGACAATGATTATTTTGTGTGTGTGGTTTTTTTTTTCTTTCTTCCTTTTGTGTTGCCTCATAGGTCTTTTCTCTCTCTTTACCTGAATTAAGCAGTTTTCTTTACTTACTGTCTGAAAGTAGCAAGGGTCTCACCTGAAGACAGAACAGGAAAGGGACCTGGGTCTCACCTCAGGCCATGGCAGCCCAGAAACACATCTATAGGACTATTCCACTTATTCAGAAACAAATCTGGGGAATGAAGTTGCTGAAATCTAAGTCTCTGCTGAACCTGTGCAGTGTAAATCCGAAAGGCTTGTAGGTCCTATTTTTGGCTAATTAGCCAAGAGAAATGCTTCATGCTAAAAATACTGTCCTTCCTGATCACAACTCCCCGCTGCATGGCAAGCAAACAATTGAAAGGAAACGTAATTCCTTTAGTTTAATGAAACAGGTGACTTCTGTTATTCAAAAATACTGCTTTTTATTTTCATAAGGTAGTGGGCAAGAGCTTCACAAAGTAATTTTGAATTTAATTGCATTGATTCATATCACAGGAAAATATTTAAGTCCAAACTTGACAAAAGCTGTGTGCGCTAATTTTTCATGTATAGGAGAAACAAAATGCACAGAAGTCTAGAGGATCTCTGCATATCTATACGTTTTCATATAATTTTTATAATTTCTAGTTGAATTTCTCATATTAAAACAGAGAAATATTTAAAGTTTTTAAATAGTTGTGCTTAAAAACTTTTTTTATTGCTATATTGTTAAGATTTTAATTGAGAAAGTCCTATAGTTAAGATACTGTTAACTAATGTAACATTCATTTGCAAGGAAGAGAAAAAGTTATATGTTCAGTTTATACTGTTAAAGTTTGTCTTTACTTAATTAGCCTTTTGTTTCCAATAGATTACTTAATTTCTGTTGTTGTTATATCACAGCTGTACCATCCATCTTCCTCTCTGTTGCAGCCTTAATGAAGCCTTGGATGTTTTTTTTATCCAGTGTTCTTCTGTCCTTTTAAATGGCTTTCCTGTCCCTAGGTCAGTCTGCCACAGCATGACAGACTTATCCCTTTAACCTTATCTCGTCAGAGAGCTTCACTGTCTTCAAGGACACAGCAAACACCTTTAGAGCTCCTAATATACACCCAAATCAAATCTCATTGGTATAGCATTGCTGAAATGCTTTTTTTTTCTTCTCTTTTTTTTTTTTTTTTTTCCTGTTTGTCATCCTCCCTTGCTGGTGCTGCATTTTTATTTTATATTTTAGAGTGTATCTGAATTGCTTACATGCTTTTGGACAATATTAAATGGTCAATAATATTGGTAGTTACTCTTTTTCTACTTATCACTTATAATTTATAAATGTAGACTTTATCTTTACAACTTTTATTAGATTAATTATTTTAATTATTATGGTTTGATTCACAGGAAAACTTGGAATAGAAGAATATGCTGTTTTCTATCCACCAAATGGTAAGAGTTATACTGTTGCCTCCTCTAGTGGTAGATTGGAAAGATACAGGATTTTTTTTCCTGAATACATGATAACCTCTTTTTCTATTACAAACTGTGTTTTACTGTTATTCTGCCAAAATAATTAATTTAAAGGAGTAAGATGGATTGAAGCTACTGCAGAACCATGTTCAGCCTGGTGTTAATAGTCACATACGGAGTTTGTCTACGTGTGTGGGAAGCAGAGGGAAAACAACTTCTGGTGCATCAGCTTTTACTCCAGTGACAGGATGCTCCACTTAGAGGATCTGAAAGCTACATGCTGAAACCATCTGACCCCAGCTTTCCAGAACTCTACAAACCACACCTGACAGTCTCGTTTCTTTCAAAATGTGTCCATTTTCGAAATTCAGTTATAAAAATTCTATATAATTTTTAGTAAATATCGTTCCTGTTGTTACTTCAGTTGTTAAAATTCTTTTTTTTTTGCTCTTATTTTGACCATTTAAATCCCTGTCTATTGCATCCTTACCCTGGTTTTGCCCCCCATTTTTATTTAAAGTTCAAGCTCTTTGCTCTTGCTTTCAGGGCCTCATGTCACCAATTTTAAATCTGTATCTCTGACCTTGTGTTTTGTGCCTTCTCCTTTCCAGTAGTGTCAGTGATAGCAGATATGTTTGTTCCCCTTCTCCCATTTTTGCTTCCACATTTATTTGCAGCTTTATAGCCGTGAAACATTGTCCTTATGACCTTTTGCCAAAGCAGCTCCTTCTTATTGGTCCTATAGGAAAATTAATGAATGGGAGCTGAGATCAGCTGGAAAAGAGGAGACAACTGTCATGGTACCACTGCCAAGTCCTCTAAATGTTTTGTCTGAATACTACATGAGTTACTGGAGGTCTTGGCCTCCTTTTTCTCCTGCTCCCTCCTTGTTAGTGCATGACATTTACCAGTTGTCATTTATCTGAAATTAGGTTCTGATTTCAGCAAAGCTTATACTTCATGGAAACAGGGCTTTACATGGCTTTCTAGGAATTACAGTACGTGTTACGGTGCACCATTGCTCATAGTGAAGTAAATTATATAATTCCTGTACTTAAATATTTACAAGCTTAAAATCTAAGACTGCAGGTGCTATAACAAGGAAATATTTTATTCCTGTAGCAGGCAGAATTCAATTTAGAAACTTGGGGAAGAATATATTTCTTGCATGGCTAAAAATAAATATAAAAGAAAAACGACAAAAAATTAAATCTTTGTTTTGTAGGTGTAATTCCTTTTCATGGCTTTTCTATGTATGGTAAGTGTGACTCTCATAAACTCTATCAGTTTGGGATTTCTCTTTGTTGTATTGTAGTTAAAAGCTGCATATACTATGCAAATTTTAAACTTCTGTGTGTTCTATTTCTGTGTGCATGAAAGCTGTTGTATACAATTTTTAAAATTCCAAGCTGCTCCTGTTTACTCTCATCACAACTTTATATCATATACCCTTTGAGAGCTAATCATTATGCAGCTGGTCTGGTCAGAGGCTGCATCTTAATGTGTATGAGTAAAGGGAGGAAGTTTATTGACAGCCTGCTTGTTTCTTGTGTCTTTTGGGTATACCAAGTTAGCTGTAGATCTTAAAAACATGAATTATGTAAAAGGCCTGTTTCTGTATCCATCCTCAAGTAGGTGTTAAAGGAGTATTAAGTGATAGAATGGTTGCTACTACTCTGCGTAGACGAAAGCTTAAATATCAACAAGATTTCTAGGAAGAGAGCAAAAAAAATCTCCCCAGTTCTCAGATGTAACAAAGCAGCTAGTGCAGAGAGATGCTGAAATAATGTAAGAATATTTGTTACAGGTTTCCATTTTTTTCTTTTGATTTATCAAAGGTATTTTTGGGACAAGCAGATTTCAAGATTATACTTTAAATGCTATGTTTTACTAATAATAAATGTCTGATTCTTAGAAATAAAATGTAATATGAATGTAAAATGGAAATTTGAACCCAGGTAGGGAATCTAAGTCTTCTGAAGTAAGGAACAGCTTAGTTACAAACTCTTCCTTAAGTGCTCACTAGAAGGCTTTCAATTTCTGTGTGAAATGTATTCTTTTCAAAATGTTTGGATTTGACTCTGCCCTTTAGAACAGCAGCAAACTGGGTGGGAGCTGCTTCCCTCCCTCCTTTCCCCTTTTGCTTGGAAAGGGCACAAAACAGACCAGCTGTGACAAAGAGGGAGGATGAAAAGCAAGGTGGTGGAAATACTAGTGAGAATCCAAGCAGAGCATCCTGTGTCTTGCATGCTGTGCTGCTCTAGGAGGAAGTACCTGGGACCTTATGTAAATCCTATATATTTTTGCATGCTCGCATGCATACGATCATGCAGTGCCAGCTGTCAGGCACTGTTCTGTTATCTCCCTGACCTTTATGTACATACGCACCCTGCCAGCTCTTCCACCTCCATCTTCAATCCTTACACATACACACTGGTAACACCCTCAGCTTTTCTCAGCCCAACGTAAATACACATTTCTGTGAACATCTCGCCCAACCTTAGTGCCCCACCTCTCACACACAAG